GTTGTTTCCAAAGTCAGGGGTGGTGGACATTTAGTTTGGCATCCATTCACGTGAGTTTCCATATGTTCCTTCCGTAGAATCGTTCTACCACAGTAGGGGCAATGATAATGGCTGGTCGGTCTGCATGGTTGGTTGCATCTACAAATGATGTTACCTACAAGGAGCCAAAGCAAATTTAAATGGTAGGAATAACAAAAGAAAAATCTACATCACTATTAAATGATAAGTAAATACATAATAATTATAATTAAGTTACCTTCAATATGCAATGCAGTGTTTATATGGCCCTCCATGTGTCTCTGGATCCTCCTGCTGGATTTTAACTTGAACTTAGGACAGAGAAGACAGTGAAACAATGTTTGGTTGAGATCTGACGAATGTATTTCAAACTGACCCCCAGCCCGAACTATTGATGGGTGGACCTGTAAAACAGAAATATAGATAACAATATTAAGACTTTTATGGTAACAGTATAAACAAATAAAACATATAGCCTGCATTTTTATTGCTAGATCAATAGGTCTGCACCTTTTTGTGTTGTTGCATTACTGTTGTATTATTTGTCCTAAAGTCCTACCTTGTATTAGATTTTTAATCTGACAGTGTATTTACTGACTTTGTATTTATTGTATTTCTTCTTTTATTTTATTGACCCTCAATGTGTCAGAAATAAAAGATTGAGTGATTATGGCTTTGAATTTGGTCTTTGAGCAACACTTGTTAGGTATAACGTTAGCTATGAAAAAACAGCTAACTAAATGGGGACCTACCTACCTACCTACCTAAAACGCATCAAAAACTTGTGTTTAATATGGACAAATTCACCTTTAATGAAACGATCATAAAGTTTTACGAGCACTTACTTTGACCATGATGTTTGGCAGCACTCACTCCTATGACTAAAAAGCCAATATTCTTCACATTCTTCTACTAAAAAGTAATTGCAAAGGTACATAACAGTTCCACCCAGATCAACACGGCGCAGGCGCGACAGTTTACAAGGACCCTACCCACTGAACCAGTTGTTCACCAGATTGCCTGTTTGAAACATTGGGTTTACGTTGGTAAAAAATTATACACCAATTCGCTGGAGTAGGTAGAGGTATGGAACTGGTGGCAAGTGGAACTGAAAGTTATTTACCATTACATACTATCGAGTTTTGGAATATAGTCCTTACCAAAGTATGATGTGCAAACCTCATATACGTTTCAAACTGGTAATCTGGTGGACAACCGGCTCGTTGTCGCTCGTGCGCAGTGTTGATCTCACCAGAACAGTGATTTGTAGTTTTGCATAGTGGTGGGCAAGTGAAGCCTCATGAAGCACTGAGGCTTTCCTAACAATTGTTCCGAAAACGATTCAAAGCTTCAAGACTTCAGTGACGGTGACATCTGGTGGACAACTGAAGCCATAGCAGCCTCTAAAGAGCACGACTGAAGCACTGGCACTGTTTCAATCCCATGACAGCAATAAAAGTTCAGAAAAGTCTGTGTGGTCATTCAAGTGTTTTGTTC